TACAAATAAATGAATAAAATAAATAAATAAATAAATAAATAAATAAATAAATAAAATAAATAAATAAATAAATAAATAAATAAAATAAATAAATAAATAAATAAATAAATAAATAAATAAATTTATTATAAATAAAAAAAAAAAGAGGAATTAAACAATACTAAAGACACCATCATGCAGCAGCAGCTGCTGCTGATGCTGCAGCAGCAGCAGCTGCGGCCGTACTACCAGCAGCGGAGGAAGGCGCTTTGCCTGCTGCTGCTGCTGCTGTTGCTGTTGCTGCTGCTGCTGCTGCTGCTGCTGCTGCTGCTGGGGGAAAAAAGGCAGCAGCAACTGCCACAACTCCTCGCCTATAACAAGACGCACACCACTGCACTCTACGTGCTGCTGCTGCTGCTGTTCTTGCTGCTGTTGCTTCTGCTGCTGCTGCTGCTGCTGCTGGAGCTGGTGCTCGTTCTGCTGCTGCTGTTGTGGCTGGTTCTCCTTCATATGCTCATCTTGCTGAGGCTCCTTTTGCTGCTGTTGCTGCTGCTGCTGCTGCTGCTGCTGCTGCTTGTACTGAGGAGGCAGCAGCAGACGCCCAATAACAACAGCACCTGCTTCTGGTGGCCCCACGAATAGCTGCTGCGGCAGCAGCACCCCACACTTAGCCCTGCAGCAGCAGCCATTGGTGAGGGCAGCAGCATTGCTGCAACATCCCTAGGGATGCCATCAATAAGAGGATGGCATTTCTTAACAAGATGATTGCTTCTGCTGCTGCTGCTGCTGCCGGGAGCTGCTGCTGCTGCTGCTGCTCCTGCTGCTGCTGCCTCTTCTGCTTCTCGTTGTCGTTGCAGCAGCAGCAGCAACCATTGTGCTTCTAGTGCTGCGCTGCTCCTAGCAGCAGCAACAGCGCAGCGGAAGCGGCCGCATAACTGTGCAGCAGCAGAACGAGCCCGCTTGCTGCTGCTGCTGCTGCTGCTGCTGCTGCCGTTCTGCAGCCGATGCTGCTGCTCCAGCCAACGAAGGGAAGCAAGACCTGCAGTGTCTGCTGCTGCTGCTGCTGCTGCTGTTGCTGCTGTTGCATCTGCTGCTGCTGCTGCAGTTGTAGAAGAAAACGAGGCGAAGGGATTCTCGTAATAATCAGAACCCTCGGAACTGGTCGTCGTCGTCGTCGTCGTCGTCCAGCAGCACATGCAGCAGCAGAAGCAGCAACAGCAGCAAAACATATTCAATCCTGGCATTATTCGCAGCAACTCCAACAGCGACAGCAGCAGCGGTAGCAGCAACAGCAGCAACAGCAACAGAAGCTGCAACAGCAAGAGTAGCACCAGCAAAAGAACTAGCAGCAGCAACAGCAACAGCAACAGCAGCAGCAGCAACAGCAACAGCAACAGCAGCAGCAGCAACAGCAACAGCAGCAGCAGCAGCACAATTGCAGTATCTAACCTGCGTCTCCTCATTGTAGGTACAGCAGCAATTGCATCATCGCTAATCCTTGGCTGCCTCTGCTGCTGCTGCTGCTGCTGCTGTTGCTGCTGCTGCTGCTGCTGCGCCAGAATAGATATCCCTCGCCTGCTGCCCTTGCACTGTCGGCCCCACAGCTGCTCAAGCCAGCTGCTGCTGCTGCTGCTACAGCTGCTGCTGCTGCTGCTGCTGCTGACTCTGGAGAGGACGCAGTTGCTGCTGCTGCTGCTGTTGCTGCTGCTGCTGCCTCCGTCGGTTGCATCTGCAGCAGCAGGCTGCTGCAGCAGATCCATTAGAGGATCCACCACAGCACTTGCTGCTGCTGCTGCTGTTTGTGGTGCTTCTGCTTCTGATTCTGCTGCTGCTGCTGCTCCTTCTTCTTCTGCTGCTGGTGGTGCGTCAGCTGCTGCTGTTTGCGTCGCTGGTGCTGTTGGTGCTTCTGCTGCTTCTTCTGCTGCTGCTTTTGCTGCTGGTGCTTCTGCTGCTGCTGCTGCTGCTGCTGCTGCTTGTGTTGCTGCTGCTTCGGAGTTTGCTGCTGTTGAGCTGGTAGCACCATCGTCTGGTGATGCTGGGAAAGCAGCAGCAGCAGCAGCAGCAGTAGTAGCA